ACCGCTCTCAGTGGAGAAGAACAGAAATAAATCTGCTCCTGCGGTCATGGGGTTTGAATGTTGAAGTGCAGTGCCCACCCCCAGCTCAGCACAGCCCACGTTCTCTGCCCCAGGAGGGCTCTGCCGCTCAGTCTCTCCCAAATCTCACATTTACAAAGGTACCCACGGTTTTCTTCTCATAAATCTATTGGAAGGTGATTTAAGCAGCCTGGAATTGCATATATTTGTTTCATTATTTCTCAAACTTTCCCTCACATAATCAGGATTTAGACTTGATTTAAAAAAAAAAAAAAAGATCCTGAGATTCTTCCTTGGATATTGGCATGTCTTTTTCTTCAGCAACATAAGTCAAACACTTTCCCCTTCTCTGTTTTTCCCACTAATTTTCAGGGGGGCTGGCTTGAATCCAATTCCACGCTATCCTGTTCTTTTTGTTTTCATTTAGGACTCCCTGGAAGGCGCACTCAGGGCTTTAATCAAGCCATGCTTCATGCTCGCAGCAACCTGGTTGTGTTTAACACAGAAAGATAAACAGTGAATTAGTAGCACTTTCTCAATGACTTCCCACCTTCTCCAGGTTTTGAAGTGGAGAACACCTTTATGTTGTTTGTGTCTGGTGCAGTTTTAAAGTGAATTTGATGAAGATAACCCAGGGCCCTAAATTTTGTTTGGAATGGTTACCCAGAAGAAAAGATATTGCCCTTGGTGGGGGCAAAGTTTAATCTGGTTTGCCAAGAGCTACTCTCAGTAGCTGAGGAGACCGGTTTGGCAGCGGGAAGCTGGTGTGAATCAGCTTGGAAGCAAAAACTTGCGGGCGGTGTCCCACTTACTGCACCACACAGCACCGTGCACCGAGGGCTCCCGTGTTTCCCCCGTGCCTCCTGCCTCCGGGACAGTACACAGAGCGTGGCTGAGGCTGCTTGTGCAGAAAGCGGGATTACAAGATGGTTTAGTCAGGACAAGACTAAGTCAAGCAGTATTACAACAAGGTTTTAGCCAGGACAGAGTTAATTTTCTTCGCAGTAGCTGGTATGAGGCTGTTTTGGATCTGCCCTGAGTACTGATAGCACTGGTGGTTTTAGCTGTGTGCTAAGGAGTGTGTACCAATTCAAGGACTTTTTCAGCTTCTGATACTGCTCCTGTGTTCCCAACTTTCTTGTTACAAGCTGTGCTGGTGGGATGCAATCCAGACAGCTAACCCAAACAGACCAAGGGGGTGTCTCATTAAGCCGGGGGTGTGCTGGGGGGCCATAGCTCGTTTGCTCATTGGTTTGTTGTTCGTTTTGTTCATTTGTTCAGTTGGTGGGTTGGTTGGCTTTCTTGGTTGCTCTCTCGCTCGTGGGGCTTTCTCAGACTCTGCTGCGATCATTCTTGGGCTCCGGCTCTCGGGGTCTCTGGCTCTGACTTGCTACTCAGGACCTGGCTGTGTGTCAGTAAGTGAGTGGTGAGAAATTGTATAACTTGTTCTATTTTCTATTGTTTTCATGACATTATTATTAGTATTGTTAATATTATTAGTATCACTATTTTATTCATTTACATTCAATTATTAAATTGTTCTTATCTCAGCCCATGAGTTTCCTTTTCCTTTCCTCCAATTCTCTTCCTCCACTGGAGGGGGGGTGGAAGGTGAGCGAGTGGCCGTGTGGTGCTTAATTGCTAGCTGGGGTGAAACCACGACACAAGACGAGCTGTAGTTACCCAACCGTGTGCTGTGTTATTCACAGGACTCCGTGCGTTAATTGGCATACCTTAACGTACTGCTATCCATTTGGGAAGCCAGGGTGATGGAGGGATCTGTAAGGCCTACCAGACAAGTATGCAAACGGTGCTGTGAAGGATACTTCCAAATAATAGCTGTCCCTGCTGGAAACTAATGGTGTGCTGTCTGTGCTCTGAAAACAATTAATGAACTATTTATTTACCATGTAAAACCTACCTTGCTCTTTGCTCTCTCTGCTCTGTTTTCTTTGCTGGGTGCGAGTCAATCAGATAGCGTGGGTCGATCACTGCTGCGTAGATCAGAGAAGCCCAGCGGAGGGTCTTCAGTGACCACTCGTGCGGACGCAGTGCAGGGCCCATGGGCAGTTAATAGCCTTCAATAAGCCCACCCAGCCTCACGTGGGACCCCTGTCCTCCAGCAGTCCCATTTCAGTCTGGGCCTGGGGGTCCTGTTGACCCTGACCTGCATGTTCTCTCCTTGCACAGTACAGCAGGATGGGACCATGGCATGGTGTGGCACAGCACAGTGATGCACCAGGAACCAGGACGCACGATGGAGAACAGCGCTGTGCTTGTGTGGGGATTTGGTCTTGCTCCCTTGAGACCAGACTGTTGTTCTGGGCGGTGCACTGCAGGTTTAGCAATAAATGGTAGACGGTGTATGTTAGGGTATGTGTTTTCCCTGTCTGCTGTTTCATTACTGTGTGTAGTCTGTAATTGGCTCCTCCCTTTTAAAACCTTCCTGTGTGCAGCGTTGGCTCAGCAGAGCCTTCCTCCCCAGGATGGGCAGGTAAAACAGTGCACGCAGAGATGTCTCCTCGCAGCCTCATCCAAGTCCTGGGAAGCTTCTGCAGTTTAGGCATGGACCCTCTGCTCAGCACCACACCCCAAACTGCTCAAGCCATGCACAGCTTCCTTGGGCAACAGAAGTCCTTGCAGCTGGACAAGCAGTGTGGGTCACATCCCACCCTCAGGAAAGTGCCCGCGAGGCTCCAGGATTTAATCCGCATCGTCCTACTGGTGCCTCTGCAGTCACAGCCCAGCGAAGCACCAGCAAAAGCCCAGCAGATGCAAGTTCTGCCCTGTGCGCGTTTCACTGGGGGGTCCTTGAGGGC